AAAGGTATCTTATGTTTTTTTCGTAAACCTCACTATTTAAAAGATATTGAAGATTTGATAATAATTATTACTCAGTCAGTAACAAAATTCATAAACAAAAATGAAATTTGTCTTAAAATAATCAAACTAGAATCTTCAATATCTTTTAAATAGTGAGGTTTACGAAAAAAACGTAAGATACCTTTTTTGTAGAACATTGAATTTCCTAAAAAATTTGATTAAAACATTTTTTCGTATAATCAATTAATGAGGAGGTATGAATTTTTTTCTGTTGGACTGAGAAAAAAATAAAAAACCGCGATGAGGAGGATCTTCCTATTAAAATTAAGAGCCCATACTGGGTGAGTACTTTCTAAAGGTGCCTAGCAACAAGTTTTTGTGTGTCAGATCCAAAAAAAAAATAAAAGATTTTTTTTGATTCACCCTAATATATATATTATATATATATATAATGAAAATATAATAAACACAAGGAAGGTACTACTAAAATATATTCTTTTATCGCAGTTAGATATCCATAAACGTGGTTGGTCGTTCATAGATATATTATCGACTTTTGAACACCACATTTATAAGGAAAGTGAAATAATGGTGAATGCTTGAAGATATGCAGCAAAGAAATAGAAAAAGTAAGATATATATATATATATATATATATATATATAGAAAAGATGGTAAACGTTTTAATTTGCATTCATGAGCCGGTCTTCTTTCTCGCTTTATCTTTCACGAAAAATTCTTAAAGCCGGCAAGTATTCCAAGTACGTCTGTGGTTATATCCAAGAGGGACGAATTCACTTATGGTGATCAATTCTCTTCGCTTCTAAGAGAATACGATGCTATCGTGAAAACCCGGAGAGATCAACTATGAAATTGTTCGTACGGGATTGGTGAGGGGAGGGTGTGGTGGAGGGGGAGGGGGGGGACGTGGACTGGAGAAAGAAAGAAAAAACGATAAAAGTTGAAAAAGAAAAGAAAGTATTAATCCGAACGTGTAGTAACGAATTCACTCGGTCCTTCTATATATATCATCACGATTATGGGGGTTTTCCACCGTGTGATAGAGTTTTTCAATTAAAATTATTTATATGAGATCTAGAGTGGAAGTACGGTTAGAATAAAAACGTGAGATTTAATTTAAAAAAAAAAAAAAATGAAATTATTCGCGAATAAAGTAAACACCGTAAAGATTGTCTTATTTCATTACCTGTCCTCCCCTTTTACTCGTTTAAAACCCTTTTTTTGTTTTCTTATTATCTCTTCTCTTTTTTTATTCAACCAAAACGGATCGTACGTATGTAGGTAACAAAAAAAAAGGAAAAAACAATGATAATTCGTTTCGTTTTTTCGTTCTTTCTTTCTTTTTTTTTCTTTTATTTTATTTAAATATTATTACCTCTATCCGAGAAGAGATATTTATGCTTGAACAACTATTACCCAAGCGCTAACGTTGAATATCTCGAAAGTGTAGGTGGTAGGGTAAAACTTTCTAAAGCTTGCAAACGAATTTCCCCATGGCGTTGAATTCCCAAAGTGTTCAAGTTCTTTCTCCAACGGGGGATCCTCTACTTGAATTTTATACCAAAAAGATTATAATAATAAAAAAAAAGAAAAATTTCAATTGGTTGTATAGTCATTCAAATACATATCAAATATTCCTTAAACATAATATATATATAAATCTTTGCTACTGTTTTTGCTGGTGCTGCTGTTGTTGCTGATACTGCTGTTGTATTGTTGAAATTTAGTAAACGTTTGAAACCTTGTCAGAATAGTTTTAAGTTATGCAACCAATCCATGCAGGTGTTACACTTCCAAACGAAATCCATTTGCAATTTGTACAGGAATGGTCAGTCGTTGTACTTTCGTTAAAGGTTCGTACACGCAGCAGCAGCAACAGCAGGCATGATGCAGGTGGTGGGTGTATGTATGTTCTGTTACCTATGGCATTAGGATGGAAAGCTGGTTACAAAACCGTCGACAATACCCAAACCTACCCACAATTGCGGATTTCCTAATTAAGCGGCACATTTAGTCTGGGGACAACCGAGTCAGCAGACGCCATTTTAGTCGGCGATGCTTTGCTTCCGTTACTATCATACTTCTCTACATCTTCCTTTCTCATTTTAGTCCTGGTTTCTCGTCGTCCTTGGTGCAACCAACGGGTATTAATAATTTACCGACAAACTTCGTTGAAATTAATTTGAACGCCATTTGCGGCTTGCGTCTTGCCGGTAAGTCCTGTCTCAACTCCGTAGATTTAAGCAACCTCATTCCTTACCTTTCCTACTCTTACTCGTAACCCCCCCACCCACCCGCTCTATCTTCCCCCCCCCATACCATCACTACAACCACTATCATCCTTTCTAATGCATTCACATCAACCATATCTATAACCTTAGTCAGCTAAATATCATTTGCAATCTTCCAAAAATATCATCATTTTAGTTTTATATTATTATTTATCTTTTATATTGCAAGCATCGTATTTCTTGAATTCAATATAAACCGTGTAACGAACCATATACTTTCATATTTTTCTTTTCAAAAACGACTTCTTCTACTTCGAGAAAATCGGTTTTGCTAACTTTACTTTGGTAGAGTTTAATTTATCGTTGAGGAAAAGGGACTCTCCCACCGTTACCAGCTTTTTCTGGATAACTCTTGTCCCCCGTTTTCTTTTTTTTTTTTTCTTCCTTCTTCGTTTATTACAACGTCAAAGTTTCGTTAGATGATTTTTGGCCAAGAAAGTTAGATCGTACGTACGGTGATCTTTGATTTTCTTTTATGTAATATTACTTAATAACAACAACAACAATAACAAGAAGAAGATGAAAAAAGATGGGCTACTTTTCTCGATACCAAGGAGACTAATAATATCGTGCTTTAGTATTTTATGGATTTTTAAAAAGGTATAATCCTTTATCATAGATTTTTATGTGCTACTTAAATGTCACGCAAAGATTTGTTAAATGTAATATCTCTTTAGAAATGTTCAAAGTAACTGTCTGTTTTTGATTTAACGAATCTCTCGTACGAGATATAAATAATTCTTTTCTTTTTCTTTGTGTATTTATTATATAAGATGAAATATATTTATGAACGTAACGAGGATTTAATAAAAGTGGATATAATATTACTTGGAATAAGAGAGTCTTTAAAAAGTAGTTAAGGAATTTCAAATGAAATCTCTTTTGGTAGTTAACTTATATTCTAAATGAGAGGTAAGCTTTACTTCCACAATATCCGTAGAATTAGAAAGAGGAAGCACATAGTAATGGACAACGAGATAGTTAAATTTGAAAATGGCCTTTGTATTCTATCTTTCGAACTTGTATTTTCTCATTCTCTTTTTCTCTTTTACTTCTTTTAAAAGCGTATTTATCTCTAAATGTAAATCGAATGAGGACTTTCGAAGAGTACTCGAGAAGAAATCGCGCAAGAAAATCAAACAAGCTTTCTCATTTCCTCGAAGGATTGTTTTTAAACCTTGTTCAATTTACTATTGTTTTAACTAATCTTTTTTGGATAATTGTTCATTCATTTTTTGATCAATTTGAGTATTGTATCTCGTAATTGAAATGTTTATATATAATAATAGAAAATAATGATATAAAAAAAAAAAAAAAAAAAAAAAAAATTAAGAAGTCTTGAACTATTGCATATTCTACCTCATAATACTTCCTATTGCTTTTATTCTTTTAATAGAATATTTTTCAATGTGAATTGTTATTG